AAGAAGAAGAAGAAGAAGAAGAAGAAGAAGAAGAAGAAGAAGAAGAAGAAGAAGAGAAAGTCTTTTATATACAGTTTTTATCTTATATACATATATAAATATCAGTATAGTGTAATAGAATATATGTCTATACATATCTACATCCATAACACAATATATAACAACAACAACAACAACAACAACAACAACACTTTCACGACCTCAACTCTTTGCTGCACAGTGTAAGAGCAACAGATCCACATGGGGAGGCGCAACTCGAAAGCCAAATGTGTGTAATGAACATGGACAACATGTGTCTGTTGGCATCTATGTATGCGTGTGCGTGTGTGTGTGTGTTTCTGTATATGACTGTGTGTGTGTGGGGGGTGGGGGCGTATATGGGGTGTGGCAGCGACAAAAAGACGCTTTTTATGCTCGACGCCCGTTTGCCTAATTAAGCATATCGCAACTGCGGGCATTTTGGGCGTGGACAGCAATTGATTAGGGGCGAGAGGGGGCGAAAGGTTGGCAGTCGATAGTTGGTTGGCAGCAGTAGCTGTTGTGGCATGCGGCATGCCACCCAGCCGCAGAATGGAGCACCTGCACGCTGCAATGAAATTGTGGATCGTAGGTCAACATCTGGAGATCGGGACAGCCAGAAATTGTTGAAAGTCTATAACTGGAACGCTGCACAAATAAACAACAGACGTTGCACATCAAAATGCAGCTGCAATTGCAACCACAGCAACAACAACAACATGCAACATATATGTATATGTAGGTATGTGAAGTTGGGTGCATGAAACGCATGAGGCATCGCGACGGCATCGCGAACGCTTGATCTTTGAACTAAATTAATTAAGCACAATGAACGCAATTGTTGTTGTTGCTATTGGCCGCAGCAGCAGCAGCAGCAGCAGCGACGGCGGCAGCAGCAACAGCAGCAACCCTCAGCTAAATGTATCCAGCAGATAGAGCAACAGCAGAAGAGTTGCTGCCATGCCCTGACTAAAGGGGTAGCATGAATAGTGGAGAGGCTATGTAACACATTTTGACAGCTTATTATATATACTCTATTATTTTTATGTCAAGAAATATATGTCAATAATGTCAATGAATATATAATATATGAATAAAATGTTTATAGAAAAACTCCTACAGTTCTTTCTCCTTCTCCTTCTAGGCAGAAACACCGACAATCTCTGATAATAATAATAATAATAATGATATAGGGAATACATATAACTATAGCTATCAACTGGTAACTAGGGCTACCAGGCTACGCCTCCTTAAGTGTAGCTCAATAACTTAAGGTAGAGTGCCTATACATATAAGAGTATTTCAAATTCGTAGACATTTTCAGTACAGCCATATAAAATATAGAACAGCTCTATAGTTCGGGTGTAGCTCATATTGGGGCACATCTATAAGTAAATGCTAGCTAGAGTAGCTTCCATTCGGCTATGCCTGACTATAATACTCCAACTTGTGGCTCTCACTTCGATGCTGGGATTCTGTCTCCAGATGTGAAATGCATTTCATCTCTGATGCTCGCTTGCAAAGTGAAAAAAGTATACTGGTTCTGGTCCATGCCTGCCTTTGTTCATTCATTCAGTTTGTTGGCTCTTTCGTTCTTTTGTTCGTTTAGTCATCCGTCCGTCAGTCCGTCTGTACGTCTCTTCGCCCAATTGTTGTCCGTCCGTTTGTTAGTCTAGCCGTCTGTTTGGACTGCTCAAGAATATTTCTAATGAGAAGTGCCATTACCCAAGCTGAGGATTTGGACTTGGGGGGGGGCTATATAGTATAAAGGTAAAATCACCATAAACTCCATAAAATATTTTTAGTCTGTAAACAAAACGTCTTTACCCATGGTAAAAATAATTGATCAGGTCCACAGGTAAGCCTATAAATAATATGATCCAGCACGCCCCATTAGCAAATAATTGTACGCATTACAAGTACATTTTCATTTTTTCATTTAATCAATCATTTCATTAACAATAATAGCTCCAATAGTGTTAAAAACTAAAAATTTTGCTTAATATTCGATGTTACATACACATAACCTTACAAATTTTAAGTATCTCTAATCGAAATGCACAAGAAGACCTACTTATATGACTAACAAACCAAAAATATTGTTCACACTGCTTAATTTGGATGTGATGATGTATAATTTGTAGAGATTTGTGAATACATATATATATATATGTAGATATATGTATTCAAGAAGTCGAAATCGTGTATAGCCGGATTTGAGAATTTGAGTTATTCGAGTTCGAGTTCGAGTTGGGAAAGTGTGAGTTTCGTTTTGATTAACCTAGAATATTTGGGCTACAATTGAGGTAAATGTAAATTATGTATATAACATGTATAGGAACATACCTATCTATCTGTATATATAGATATATCTAAATATATGTACACCTATATATACGATCTATATGTGCTAAGACTATATATTTTGGATATGCCGAAGATATGAGGTTAGGTTTGTTGCTGTACTTGCTAAGTAGGGTTTGAGTGTGTTCAGTCTATAATCAGTAACCGGAGACCTTTCAGCATATCCAACATGTGTGGGTGTATGTGTGTGGGTATGTGTGGGTGTATTTGTATTACTGTACCTTAGATTATTGCTTGCCCCATTTGGGATTTGCATTTGCCCCTAATTTAGCCGAAATATTCTAAATTACGTATACATATATATATAGGCATATACATACTTATAGATGTGCATGTATGTTCTGAGATTATGTATCGATCCGTGAATATATAATTGTATATATATATAGCTCTATATATATATGTAACGCCCACAGTTGCGCAGCTGCCGTTCTTGTTGGTAGTGTATGTTTTCTTCGTTGTAATGCGCTCCGCATTCGATCTGTTCGATGTGTGTATACTCTGTATTCTGAATTTGTATTATGTCGTGTCTGCATTATTATCATCTGAGTCTTCCACTTTCAACATCGATTTGGTTTTTTCATGTCAAAGCCCATCCTCATCCTTGTCAATTTTCAGGTTGTGAGTCTTACATCTTGTTTTGATGCTCTGCTACTTATATAGCGTTTCTTTTAGTGGTTCAGTGTCTTTTCTTCTTGGTTCGTCATAGTAAGTATCTATGGGGTATATCAGAGGGTATATCCCAGTTGTTATATATGAAGTAAGGTCCAAAATTGCTTCGGTAATCACTTTTGGAAGGAGCTCCCTAACGTTCTCAAGTTATAGAAAGACTGGAACGACCACAGAAGAGAGAGAGAGAGAGGGAGAGAGAGAGAGGGAGAGAGAGAGAGAGAGAGAGAGAAAGAGAGAGAAAGAGACACAGATAGGGGAGAATGAGAGTAAAAAGAGAAAGAGAGAAGTGGAAGGAGAAAGTGACAGCAAGGAGAGAGAGATAGAAGTGAGTAGAGGCAGAGAGGATGGATAGGGAGATTGAGAATAGGGAGAGAGAGAAAGAGATAAAGGAGAGTAGATATAGAGCAGAGAGGGAAGAGAGCTAGAGAATAAAGAGATAGACGTGGGTAAAGGGAATGAGAAGAGAATGAGAGGAAAGAAAGAAAGAAGATTGAGAGGGGGGAAGACACAAAGAAAGAGAGAGAGAGAGAGCGAGAGAGAGAGAGAGAGAGAAATAGTAGTAAGAGAGAGATAAGTACGATTCTAGTAAACGAGGGAGAGAGAGAGAGAGAGAATAGGCAGGGAAAGGAGAGGATAAATTGAGAAACAGAATGAAAATCGATAGAGAGAGAGAGAGAGAGAGAGTATTTGTATACCCACTAAATTGAAAGTTTGAATGGAAGGGAAGGGAAACATTCGTACCAAGTCTATGGACATAGATGTAGCTATAGCGAATTACTGAAGCAATTGTTAGGCCGTTAGGCAAATCGAATCATATAAATGATAGTTACAGATATGATATGTGCTCTTCGCTTGATTAGGATGAGCGCCAGCTGCTGCTGTTGGCCCCATCGAACTCCCAGGATGTCTGCTGTTGTATCGATGTTTGTGAATTGGATGGTTGCGGTTCCTGGTAATAGTTCTGGGGCCAGACGGCCGGCACATTGACCGGCACACTATAGTATTGATAGATCGGCTGGTACTGCACACCGCCCGGTGCCTGCTGATAGAGGGTCGGCATTGGGGCGCCCGTATAGTCGGTGATCGGTCCGGCCGGGCCATAGCCGGCCGCGGCATACTGATCGATCGGAATTGGGTTCATCGACGGCTGCTGATGATGCTGTTGATGCTGCTGATGCTGCTGATGGTGATGCGGCGCCGGCTGAGTGGTGAAGTAGACAGTGCCGTTGGGCTCGATGACCGGCTGGAATTTGGGACGGATCTGGTGCTTCTTGAATGCGGGCGCAATGTTCAGGCGACGATTGCGCAAGATGACACACTTGCCAATGCTCTGGAGGCGCTGGGCCTCCTCCTCGGTCTCGAATGTCACGAAGCCATAGCCCTTGTTGAAGCCATCCTGGTCGACGATGATCTTGGTGCTACGCACCGTGCCATAGGCACTGAACGCAACCATCAGATCCGTTTCAGTTGTGTCGCGACTGATGCCGCCCACAAATACACGATTCGGAATCATTGTGCCATAGATCGGCTCCGCCGGTGGCGGCCCCTCCACGGCGACAGTCGGCATGGGGACGGTGCCCATTGGTGGGCCGCCGGCCGGAACCATTGACATCTTGTTTCCAGTTGGGGACTGTTGCAATTGTGTGGATGCCATTTCGATCCGGTGATAGCTTAGTCCAAAAAGTCGATGATTGAGGCTGCACTTACACACGCACACATAAACACACACACACACATATATATATATATATATATATATTAGGATATTGCCGGATAGTGGATTATGTTTTCACGCTCAATTTGTTTTGTACTCTTACCGTTATAATCAACAAGATCCTCGTATAGTCTATACGAAAAGTTTTGCAACGACCGCTCGAGGAATTCAGGAACAATGACTAGCCGGGAGATGAAGAGAAATATGGGCTTCAATTAAGAGAACGGGACGGAAGACAAAGTCTGTGCTTTGCTTTGCCGCTGCGTCTGATTCCAACTCCTCGCGTACTGCTCTCGATAACTTCGTAATGGGGCCTTGAACCTTCTTCTACTTATAACAACGTATAGTTTTGGTAACTATTGCTCAAACGAGTATCAAAAAAAATCGAGAATTTCAAAAAAAAATAAAGAATTTCCAAAATACCTCATTTGTTAAAATACAAATTTGAAATGAATTCATAACACCTGACCCTAAAGGAAATGCGACAATGATATACAAATAAATTTTTTTTTTCATATACAAAAATGTTCGTTTGACGTTTGACGTTCAAATGTAAAGTCAAATTCACAAAAGGCCAGAAAATCGAAAGTTAAATAAAACGGAGTATGGACAAAGTGGCGAAAATCCTAATATAATATTTATATCGATTGGGAGAGTATATTGTATAAACATTTAAGCGTGAATTATTCCATATATAAATTTAAAGTCTGTAACATCGATAACAACAAAGATGGCAATAGCGAGTGATAAAAATCGATAACATATGGCTCCTGCCAAAGTAATTGAAATCGATAGCGCTATCGATAATTGTTAATTGAAAACGACTGTTTAGCAGACTATCAATACATTTCAATCGATAATCTTATCGATACATATTAAATGAGAGTCGAATCAATAGAAACTGAAGGCGATAGACCTATAAAAATTGTTTAAACAGTGGTCAGATATAGTTGATATCGATAACTATTAAATTGCGATCGTATGGATGCAACTTGAAGCCGATAATGTTATCGATAAATACTTTCGATCTTAGCTGAAATGTATATTTCATATTTCGATACATATCGATACTACAATCGATCGATTATGATTGGTATCTATATACATTTGACTATCGATAACCCATGTACACTCATCGATAACACCACATGATTACTTGTACATACATGTCTTTGCCATCATGCAAAGGGTATTCCTCATTCGATTTAGCTAAGCTATCAAAATCTCAAGAAATATAATCTATATATATGTATATATTTATTTTTTTTCATTTCGCTTTCAATTTCCGCTTTTCGTGCGGGTCAGAAGGGGTGTCTCGCGGGCCCAGTTAATTCGTCTGTAATAAGTTGGCTGCGACGCGACGTCGCTGTCGCTGTCGCTGCAAGAGTCCAATAAGAATGTCGCTTGCCATATGATGATTATGGTTATTGTGCTGCGTCTCGCCTCTCATTTTCGTTAGCTCTTAATGAAGTTTATTGAGCGCAGCGCAACAGCAGCCGAAAGAGATCCACAGCCAGCGATATAAGGCAGTTGAAAAGATGTCTGATTCGATTTGCGTGTGCAAGCGAGAGAGCAACACATCCGAAGCGAGAAGAGAGAGAGAGAGAGAGAGTGACGATGACTCATTATGAATTGTGAAGCAAACAAATGTCTGATAAGAAAGTGCGATAAAGATATGGATGCATAGATAGATAGATGGATGGATGGATGGTTCTCTCACTCCCTCAATGGTTCTTCTCTAGTTCAAGTCGAATCTTTGAATCGAATCATATAATTGAGTTATTATATTCAAATTTATGTATGAGCCAGGGGAAGCTCTATGGTCATGGATTATGATTATGTATGTATATATGTGATGATGATTAAATTGAAATTAAGATTATGTCATATATTATAAATAGTACTAACGCCATTTCTTAGATTCAAGCTGTTTAAGTAGAAGTTAATGTGATTTTTTTTTATTATTATAAAAAAAAAAAATTAAATGGAACAAAAAAAAAAAAAACAATCGCAATAATTATACTCCTCTGCTATAGAGTGAATAAGTTCAGATGCCCATATCGGCTCTTTCAAACTGTTACAAGAGGCTTTGAGACACACACACGCACACACATATACATACACATGTATGTATGTATATTAATAGTTTTGCATGTGTAATGGCAACTCAAGTGTCAATCAAGCAGCTACTTGTGTTGCATTAACAAAGAAAATAAATGAATACAACAACAACAAGAAAGAAGAAGAAGAAGCAGAAGCAGAGAAATTTCCATAGCTGCTAAAAGTGTCAAACAAATCAGAGCGAGAAAATGAGCGGCATAAATAAAGCCAATTGGAAATGGAAGTAATGCATAATGCATATGTATAAGTATGCATATGTGTGCATATATATATATGTGTGTGTGTGTGTGCTTGTAACTGTGCCAGTGCTCGCTTGCAGCAAAGTACATACATACATATGCAAACTGATGACAAAATTGTTTTACGCGCGCGACTCTTCAAATTGCATTAAAGTCGACGTCGGCAGCGACGTCAACGTCGACGCGTCGCCTGATAAAGCAACTGCTGCGTGCTGCTTAGATTTGCAATGCACTCTTCTATCTCTTTAAATGCAATTTGCTGTACAGCAGCAAGCATAGCGTGCATCAGGTTGCGCCTCGTGAGTGCGACATTGCGATAGTTTACGCTTGCGAGCGACAAAAAACGCGCGCAAAACGCGTGCGCAGCACGTCGACAGCCAAACGCGATTAGTCACACAGCTGTCCCAAAAGCCCCAAAGTCAGCTAACCAAAGAGCAGCAGCAGCAGACACATACACACACATACACACACACAGACACACACACCCACACACACATGCATATATATATATATATATATATATATATGTACATATATAGACAGAGCCTCAACACTTGCTGCAATGCGCCGCAAAGCAAAAGCACGCAATGCACAACATTCGCAATGCATTTGCTTCATGTTGCATCAGTGCCCCCAGACCCATGGACCCCTCGAGGCCCCAGCCCCGCCCCAGCATATGTGCATGGAAGGGGGCGGCACAATGCAAGCCACTGTGTGCGGTTGGGCGCCTCTTTGCAATCAATTTGATTTAAATGGTTTTTTTTCTGTTTATTTTTTTTTTTCTTGTTTTTTACATTTTACTTTTAGCTGTTGCTGTTGCATTTGGCTTTGCTTTTGCCACTGCTACACATTTCCGAAATATTCTGTTAATTTATTTGATTTAATTGCACGCGAGCGTCGTTTATGACATTACGTATTACAACACTCATTTGCAGTGTTGACAACGGCCGTTTACATAATAATAATAGGCCAGGCCAACTTGGGACTTGGGGAGTGAAAAGCCAATTTTCCGCATGTATGTATGTATGTGTGTGTGAGAAGGAAGAAGATACGATATACAAAAATCGATTATTTTGTTCCCATTGAATTGAATGGATTGCGATTAATCGAAGCCATAATAGAGATTATTAAGAATCTTAGGATTATGATAAATAATAGGGCTATGATTAGAGGTTTGAAAAGGAAAGCAATAAAGATGTTCAGTAGAATTATGATAATGATAGACTGACTATTATGATTATAGCAATTATAATGATCATGATTATATTGATGATTATGATCTGCAAGGATAGCAAAAATGATGTTCAGTATAATGATGAAGATAAATAAGATAATGAAAGAAAAATGGCCACTGTTATGGTTAGGAGAACGATTATCATCGAGAGCATAATTATGATTATAATGAGGCTTAAAGGCTTGAAAAGGATTGCATTAATGATGTTCTGTATAATGTGGATAATGAAATAATGACTATTGTTATGATTATAAGAATGATTATGATCATAAATATAATGATTAATGTAATTATAATTATGGTTATGACAATGGTCATAATTATTACTAATGATTAAGCTAATAAATGTTTATGGTAATGCTAATGAAAGTGCGAATGAGAATCGGATTAAGAATGCGAAAGACAATTATAATGAAATTCACATTACTGATGCTAATACTAAAATTATGCTAATGCTAATAATAATGCTATTGCTAATTTAAGTGCTTAAACTAATTCTAAACTCATGCTTATTTCAATAAGAATGATTAAAGCTATCTAATAATAAGATTTATATATAATATCAGTCATAATCATAGTCATAGGAATATTTCTGAGAAACATAAAAATAATAGTCATTATGATGAATGTATATACATATATGTATATAAAATAAAGTCATTAATATATAAATATATAATAATAAACGCATTAAAAATGACGATAGTCAATAATACAATCATAATATTATTTATATTCGAAATAAAAGTATTTATAGAAAATATATGTATTTTAATAATATGGCCCCTGGGCTACAAGGGTCTACTTCATTACGCTCATTAGGAATACAGAAGATGCCCTACAGAGAGCGACAAAACCAAATAGAAGAAAAAAAAAGATTCAATTTGGATATGATTTGCTTTTAATGAAGTTGTTTAAAGCTGTGACAGATCCATTGAGATCGTTTGGAAAACACTTCTATTTTGGGAACAATAGCTCGCATAAGCACGGAAACGTGTTTCGGTTTCACTTTCTCTCACAACGGCTATGCAAATTTGTCGAGCCCAATAACACGATAGCACGACTTATAGAGAGACAATCAAAACGACTCGGAAAAGGCATGCAGTGAAATTTTCAATGGCCCTCGATTATGGTCGACTAATATGATTATCATCCACCTCAACATCATCATCGTCATTGCTAACAACAATTCCAAGTTCAAGAATTCGCAGGCCTAAAACCTTTTCATTGTGTTAGAATAAGGCGAAATAAATACGTGAGAAAAATGATTTTTTTTTTTATGTAGACAGTTCTATAGGGAAGCCAAAGAATGGAACTAGATATATATAGTAATATTCTAGTATAAAATATTATATGTATATATCTAGTTCATTTGAGGTAAGGAACTCTTATGAGTGGTGTATATGACACAGAGTTTTAGGTACATCAGTTAAGAGCAGCATAAGGGAATGATTATAAATATTGTATTGCAATATTTTTATTTATATATAATTTTCTAGAATTCTTCATAGCCCAACCGCAAAATGCTGAAGAAAATGGGTTAAATTTCCAGCCACAATAAACGTC